CCGAGGCCGAGGCCGACGCCGAGGAGTGGGAGGCCGAGTCGGTGCTGGGCACCCTGCTGCAGAAGCTGCGGGAGGAAGGCTACCTGGCCTACTACCTACAGGGTAGGTGCGGTTGGTGGCACGGTGGGCACCCGCTTGGGGAGGACCCCCGCCCGGGAGGCAGGGCCCCACCTTCCGAGGGGATTCATAATTCATCTGACCTTCAGCAAGCCCTGCCTCATTTTATCTAAAGGGGAGGTGAGATACCCTCCTCTGAGCATGATCTTGGGCCAGTCCTTCCCCCTTGGGGACCAGTTTCTGAATCTGGAAAATGGGAAGAATAGGGTTGACCTGACCTGGCTCACGGGGAGGCTCAAGAATAGAGCACCAGGTGAGGGATCCCAGTCTCCCCCTGATGGTAACTGCACCTCCTCCAGCTGCTCAGCCATGGGCAAAGGGGGCCAGCGACACAGGACAAATCCCGCTCTACAAAGGCTCTGGAAAGGGGGCAGGGGAGAGAGAGAGAAAGAGAGAGAGAAGCAGTGAAGGCAGAAGGAAGCCTGAAGAAGCAGGGACTTGACATCCTCCCCACCCCCAGTAGTCATGGCAGAGCTGGGGGATGGAGGGGAGACAGGCCGATATAGCCGGTTGGCTCCTTGCCCAGCCAAACACACACAGGCACCCTCCGGGGGTCCACGGTAGGGACGCGGTTTCCATGAACCTACAGAGCTAGGTGTCCCCACCTCCCCATCGAGGAGGGTCATTGGACTGTGGTCGCTTGCTCCATTCTGAATGCACAGGGACATAGAACTATAGAAAGCGTTGGGTTTTCAGGCCCTCACCCCAGCCCAGGGAAATAGCAGTTATCTGTAGACCAAAGAGATGCTCGCTTCCTGCGACTTTGGAAGTATCCAGGTGGAGTGTTGCACTCTCTCAGGCTCCCCGCCTCCTGGGGTCCCAGTTTATCCCTGAAGAGATCACAGAGATGGCTGTGACCCAGCCCTTACCTTCTGGGTGCTCCTGGTCTAGCCGGATAGGGAGACACCCAGGCGGAGCATGCGCATCTGAACCTTTCCTCCTCTTTAACTGATGGCCTCTGTCCTCCTCAGGATTTGCAGTACCTCTAGACTCTGTTGAGCCCTCGTGCCTGCCTCGGCCAGGCCCAAGGGCTGTACGATCTTCTTTGGGTGGCTCTGCCTGGGCTCAATGTCTTACATCCCCAGCAGCCTCAGTGGGCACTTGCTGTCCAAAGGCGTAGCCGACGGTACTGGGCAAGGGTGACTGGGCTGTCACATCTGCAAGCCCCCTCAGGCATCGGAGCCATCTAGGGTTGGTTCCCTATCCCCAGCCAGGAGTGCTTGGCCGCCAGGAGACCAGATCAGCGGGACCCTCCTTCTCTCCCCTCCCAGGTGGCTTCAGCAGATTCCAGGCCGAGTTCCCTCACCTGTGTGAGACCAGCCTCAACAGCCGTGGTGGGCCAAGTACAGCCATGGTGCCCAGCCCAGTGGTAGGGCTGGGCGGCCTGTGCCTGGGCTCTGACTGCTCCGATGCAGACTCAGAGCCTGACCGCGACTCCATGAGCTGTGGCCTGGATTCAGAGGGTGCCACGCCCCCCCAATCGGGGCTGCTGCCATCCTTCCCCGTGCAGATCCTGCCCAACCTCTACCTGGGCAGTGCCCGGGATTCGGCCAACGTGGAGAGCTTGGCCAAGCTGGGCATCCGCTACATCCTCAATGTCACCCCCAACCTCCCGAACCTCTTTGAGAAGAATGGCGACTTTCACTACAAGCAGATTCCCATCTCGGACCACTGGAGCCAGAACTTGTCCCAGTTCTTTCCGGAGGCCATCGCGTTCATTGGTGAGTCCGCCCCGCCCTCTGCTTTCTCCCTCCTCGCCCTAGGCCGAGCTCCTGGCCTCCCCCATTTCATCCCCCTCTCCCTCACGATGGCTCCTCCTGGGCTTAGCTGCAATCCTAGAGCCTGAAGCCAAGATGGCACTTCAGGGGTCGGACAGTGCCGAGGCCAGCTCCCGGAAGCCACTACTGAAAGTGCCAGGGCTCCTTAGGCCAGGCGGGGCTCCCAGGTGAACCTGGCCAGGGCCACCTGGCTTGGAGGGCAGAGAAGGGGCCGCAAGGGCCTCTCTGGAAGGCCGTCGGCCTGCACCTCATGCTGCTCCCCACTCTGCCCCCGCCTAGACGAGGCCTTGTCCCAGAACTGCGGGGTGCTCGTTCACTGCCTGGCGGGCGTCAGCCGCTCCGTCACCGTCACCGTGGCCTACCTCATGCAGAAGCTCCACCTCTCACTCAATGATGCCTATGACCTGGTCAAGCGGAAGAAGTCCAACATCTCGCCCAACTTCAACTTCATGGGGCAGCTGCTGGACTTCGAGCGCAGCCTGCGGCTGGAGGAGAGGCGTGCCCGGGAGCGGAGCAGCGGGGGGCAGGAGTCTGCCACCTCTGACCCGCCTTCCTTCTTCACCACCCCCACCAGCGACGGTGTCTTTGAGCTGGATCCCACATAGGGCCCTGCCCTGCCCCCTATGGGTGCTCCTGACCACCCATGTGCTGGG